CTCCCTGTATGAGTGGAGACAACTGGAACAAGCCACAGATGAAAACAAGTAAAGATAATCAGACCAACAAGAAGTCTAAACCAAGCACTAGAGCAGGGGTGTGGAACTCCAGGCCTCGAGAGCCGGTGTCCTGCAGGTTTTAGATATCACCCTGGGTCAACACACCTGGTAATGGCGTTCATTATTCAGGCTTTTATCAAAGAACTGGGAGCTGCAGTGTACTCGAAGAGGTCTTATAATATACTGAAGATCATATAAAGAAAAGCATCAAATGTACTACAGTACAGTAATGTCACCTTCATGTTCTAAGTAAAGGTATGTATTTGTCATGGAGCTGTAGCAGGTGATTACCCTCAGGGACCCGTGTGGCCCACAAGCAGCTGATAGTGCTGAATGAAGCAGGCACTAAATTTGGTTTTATTTAACACAAACCCAGCTGAGTCGGACCTATTATTTTGATAACACACAAATACTGCCTTACACAGTGTACAGATCAGAAATGTTATTCATATGTAAAGTGGTAAACCACTGAAAGTCTTTGTCTGCCTGTATTTTAATTGAAAATAATAATTAAAATTAATAAAAAAAATGTTATAGTCTAATCTTCCATGGAGTACGGCTGAAGGTTGCTCGGTTTATTTTACAAACTCTTTAGCCGAGGTAATCTGGTGTCACTATGTGTAGAATTTGAAAATTTCCAATGACAAAGAAAGTGAGTGTTTTCAAAAATGCAGCAATTACGTGGGCGCTTTGATTTACAGAGTCCTTTTCCTCCCGTAGGTGGACATCGCTTTCTCTGAGGGAGAGAGGGAGCGAGAGAGGGAACGAGCAGAGAGAGAAGGGAGACGAGAGCTGGGCATTTACAGCGTGACCTTCACTTTAATATCAGGTAGGAGACCAGAGTCCTAACGCTTCCACATGTGAGGAGTTACCAGATAGATGCAAATGAATGCTGCACTGTGTCAGGGGCATACTTGTGTTTCTGCAACCTCACCCATTCAGCAGATTAAAGCAGAACCTCTGTGAGTTAAGGTTTGGTTAAACAAGGGGAAAAGGGGGAAATTAGCCATGTGATACGTCTAAAACAAATTTAATATTCAACCAATGGAGGAAAAATGTCTCGTTTTATAGTTTAAGATTTATAGTATTAGATGAGAAGTCACTGTCAGTGATGAACACATTGGAAAATACACTATTTTTGTTGCAGCTGCTTCACAATAAAAGCCCAGCTTGTTTTCCTAGAAGATCTACAGCGTTAGGAGCAAGAAACAGCAAGGCTGACACTAATGAAACTGTATTACTCTCTGTTATATGCATGTGTTATTTCATTCCTTCACAATCTGTTTGAATCCACTGTGAGGATGGTTGACTGCATTCCTAAAGGTGACAAATACAAGATAGAGAAAATTACTGAAACGATCACAAACACTTAAACTGGGTCTGACATCATCATGTTTGAGCCAATAACAGCACCTGATTTATCAGCTAACAGAGGAAAATACAGTGCTAACTAAAGTCTTTAGATTTTGCTGTGGAAATCAGAAGATGTGTGCAGTGATGTGCAGTTGAGCTTGACAGACAGTATTTGGTAGGACCACCTTTATTCTTCAACATACTTTGAACTCTCAGGCAAGTTTTCTCCTTATTTCTTTAAGTAGTCCTCAGGAATAGTTCTCCAAGGTTCTTGAAGGACATTCAAAGCTCTTCTTTGGATATTGGCTGCCTTTTGTTCTGTCCTCTGTCAAGATGATCCCACACGGCTCTGGGGAGGCCAATCCATGACCGATTGTGTTCCATTGTGCGTTTTTCTATCCAGGTTATGTTTTTACTGGATTGGAAGTGTGTTTAGTATTATTGTCATGCTGAAAAATGAAGCCATTAGACATCTAATCAGACACTTTCCAGATAGTACTGTCACTGTTGTACCTTTCTGCTAACCTTCTCAGCACATGTTGACAAAGACGTGTTAGTACTGACTTTCAGTCCAGTTCCTGTGTATCTCCAAATGTTGATTCTGTTCATCTGGATGTAGCGTTTTGTGGGAGAAACGTTTCGTCACTCATCCAAGTGACTTCTTCAGTCTCAGCTGACTGCAGGTTTCCCCAAATATTATAAACAGTAGTAGTAGTCCGTAAGAGATTACAGGATGACACCAACCTCAGCAACAGGACCACTCTCAGCACAACGGATCACATTAACTCGGTGGACCGACACATCAAATTCACCAGGGGGGATATGAAAAGTGAGATTTCCATCAGTAATGGGGGACATCTAAATGCTGACCGTATGTACCGTAAACCTACACATACGGATCAGTATCTAAGGTTTGACTCTCATCATCTACTGGAGCACAAACTGGGCGTCATCAGGACGCTACAACACAGAGCGAACACCATCCCCACTGACACAGCAGCCAGGGAGGCAGAAGAACATCAAGAAGGCCCTGAGTAACTGTGGTTATCCCAGCTGGACTTTTGTCAAAGCTGGAAAGGCTCCTAAAGAAAGCTCCAGCCGATCCAGGAGAGAAGGACAACCGCTGCCCAAGCGAAAACCTGTAGTGATCCCGTACGTGTCAGGAGTATCGGAGCAGTTGAGACGCATTTTTTCTAAACACCGGGTCTCTGTGGCTTTTAAACCCTGAAACACGCTGCGCTAAAAACTGGTCCACCCCAAGGATCGGGTCCCCCGACACAAACAGAGTAACATAGTGTACGCTGTTAAGTGCCAGGAGGATTGGCAGGATTTATACAACCTCTGGCTACAACACAGAAGAGCTACCTCGTCAGGCCAGGACTGCAGTCTGTTTACACCTACAGGCCAGTGGACACTCAATGATGAGGATGTAACATCCTGGACAGGGAGGAACGCTGGTTTGAGGGCGGAGTCAAGGAGGCCATTTACGTGAAAAGGGAAAGACCATCTCTGAATGGAGGAGGGGACTAAAGGTCCATCTGTCACCATCTTACAATGCTGTGATTGCAGCCGTTCCCCAACTCTCTGTGAATGGCACTCATGGCCATTGATCAGTGGGCTTTGATCAGTGGGTTGTGGTCAGTGGTTGTTGATCAATGGTCATGAGAATTTGCATAATTAAGATTAAGGAACTGACCTCCCAACCCATTGTTCTTTCAGTGGGCTGGTTTCAGTCATTATGCAAATGTACTGTTTATAAGATCGGAAATCTGCAGTCAGCTGAGACTTTTGGAGATTTACTTACCTGGATGACTGAGCATGCATCAAGACACTTCCTGTGTAATTTGGCCAACCTCAGCCCCATTTCCCTTCCACTGAGATCATTTCTGATGATCAACTGAAGGGCAGTTCAGCTCTCAGGTCCTGTGCCAGGTCTTTGCTGGATTTCTTCCTGTTTCTTAAGGACATGACTTTCACATACTGTTCATCTGCTATAGATAGCTTTTAGGCCTGCTGCCTCTTCTTTTGTCCTCCACTTGTCACACACATCATGCTGAGATATGCCAAGAATTTACTTAATAGCTGAGCCCCTCTAGTGGGCAATAAAGGTATTCCATGTAGGTCTGCATATTAAGAACTTATTGATACTTGGAGGATTTTTCTTTTCTTTTTTTGATTATTGTTTTGGATAAATAAAAAGGGATAAAGGTATTCTCATCTAGGTTTTGGTATTTAGCTTAGATATACTAGGAAAGCCTTACAGGAGAAACTCATCTAATAAAACAAATTCATACATTTGGTTCTTGCTACCAACACTCCTGTTTTTGACCTGTTTTTCATCTTGGATATCTCCTCATAGGAAAGAACGGTCAAGCATGTAATGGAGCAGTTCAACAAGTAAATGATCAGAAGATCAAACTGTATTACTGAAAATACAAAGAAATACTTCATATTCTCCATGTGTGATGATCAGAGTTTTGATTAAAGGTTTGGGTGGGCCAAACATGACCCAAAATGAGTTACTGAACCCATAAACTCAGCAGGTAAGTGTTCACGAAGGTCGAGTTCAGAAAGCTGTTTTTCAATTCCTTCCAAAGGATAGGAAGTCGCTTTCCAACCAGAGATATTGCCATCTGGTGCAGGTTTAAGGTGCTTTCACATCGGCTTTATTGTTCTGACTCTGAAGCTGTTTCCACTTTTTATGCTGTCTGTGGGTAAACCCAGTAGAAATTGGACTTTTAGACTACTGTCCTTTTACCTAAAATACTAACTCATAAGTGATATATTGATTTTTTTTTTTCCTCTATTCAGGTCCGAGCCGCAGATTCAAAAGGGTAGTGGAAACCATTCAAGCTCAGTTACTGAGTACTCATGATCAGCCTTCTGTGCAGGCATTGGTTGGTGAGTAGCACCAACACCCCACCAACAGCACACGGAGTAGTAGCTTGTTAGCTTTACTTCATCTCTCCCTAACTTTACCTCTTGCCGTTTAGATGAGAAGAACGGTCAGCTTTCCCGCCAGCCCAGCACTCCTACACGTCAGAACTCCAGGAGATCTGAAAGCGGATCGGAGCGGGGAGAGGGGGAGCATGCGGCAGACGGGGGGAGCAGTAGCGGAAGCAGCAGCGGAGCAGTCTTACAAAGACGAGGGTCGGGGAAAGACAAGGCCAGACTCTCGCCGTCCAACGGGACACAGGCTCACCCTTGAAAAGAATGTTGTGGAAGAGAAGTGAGGGCCCTATGCCGGGCCCTTTTCTCTTCCTCTCTTTAGTCCTTTCCACATTCTTTCCTTTCCTATTTCCTTACTTCCTGCCTTGCTTCATACTTTTAGTCCTAAGCAATGGGATGGAAAAAGGGAGAAGATTTTCCTTGAAGCTGATCTAGGGATTTAATGAAGATTTCCCCCTGAAATGGCTCGTTTTCTCAGAAATGTATATTTTTGGAGACTACTGGAGCTGATCTCTAATTAGCCCTAAAGGATAGCTTCACCCTGGTGGGACAAGCCTAAAAACAAATGATGTCCAAAAAGCTCCACTTTACTATGAAAATAGAAGAAATTTAGTTCACCTGTTCCTATGGATCGAAAAAAAAAAGCACATGAAGTTCCCACTGACCAATCACATGCAACACATTGTTCAAACTCAACAATCAAGTTCCCACCCGTCAGTCAGAGTGGCTCGTGAAGATGTTGGTCAGTGACGGAGCGCATCAAGGCATTCTCATTCCTCATTTCCTGGCTGTCTCATGAATCAGCAAGTCTTTTCAGCATCACCTGACATGACAGGAAACCATCTCTGCTCTCGTCTCATCAGTTTCTAATTGAAGGCTGCGTTAAGGAATGAAAGAGCTATAGGGAGAGTCCTGTTTTAGACTCGGTTGTGAAAATGGATTTAATTCTTAAATTATTAGCCAACTTAATGCTGTGCTGACAATGGATCTGATGTAGCTATGTAACATAACCCTACAGCAAAGTGAATATCTTAATCAACAAACACAACTTGCTTGAGTGTATGAGAAGTCCCACAGTCATTTCTGAATTACACTTATTTAAAGCTATGATACCATATTGCCTTTAATGAAGGAGAAGAAAAAGTGGATATCCAGTTAGATTTAGCCCCAATTTAATGACACTAGGACACACCACAGGCAATGCTAGGGGAGAAAAAGGTGGATACATAAACACAGGAGGTCGAGCAGTATCCATTCAGTAGTAGAAAAGAAGAACAAGTTGTGAAAAGCCTCCAAAGCAATCTTGGAGAAATATTTTGTTAAAAGAGGTTTGTCTCATATAACATTCACATGCCATATACACATGGTTTTATTGTTCACCGTAGTTCTGTTCTACATACTGGCTGTGACGTCTTAAACTTGCGCCCTATTCGGAACCCCATTTTAACCCTACGCTCTAACCTTCTGGTTGTTTCTGGTTACTGCGTAAGTTAGGATGTAGATTTCCTGCAGAAGTCTAAATCAAGCTTTACCTTCCATAAGTGGATCTCCAACAAAGAAGTGACAAAATCTTTGTTCCCTGGCAAAGTGCACGCCAGTGTTCAGACAAAGCTAGTATGAAGCATTAGCGTTAAAAATAACCAGTCTCCTTTTCCACAAACAGCAGTTGCACATGAAGGCCTTGCAAGTATGTGGACCTGTCAAATGCTGATTGTCTTATCTAAACTTCTCAGCATTTCTCTGTTTTTCCTTTTTTGTCCTTGCTCTAACACAAGTCTGTGTTAGTCCAACCAGCAACCAGCGTCAGGATACGGTCACATTGGAAACCCACAAATATTCACCTGATAGCTTGACTTAAGTTACAGTAACATATTTTTAGAACTTATTAGGTCCTAAGAGCTTGTTTACGTATCTACATATCCTCTCCATTTTTGTTTTTCGTGTCTTTATAAAGGCCAACTTGAATCAAACAGCTCCAGCTACCCAAAAGTGTTGTGAGTAAATTTGTCTTCAATTTCTGATTGTTGGTAGCATGTCTTAATGATGACTTTGTGATGAGTGAGAACCTACACAGATGATTGAGCATCCATCAAGACTTTACTGAAGCACTGTGCTACAATCTGTAATGTAACCTGATGTATATCTCCCTTGAAATGTGACTACACATCACCATCTGACCATCCCGCTGGCATAAATTCTGGAAATGGCTACTTACGTAGAGATCCCGCACACAATAGGAGTTTAGGCTTGACATGTCTTTTTACTGCAACCAGATGGCAGTCAAGTAATTTGGTTTAGAAAAATGAGTCGTATATCTACTGTTTTTTATTTATTTTTTTATTTATGAAGTTCCGAATTCTGAAAGCTGCAAATAACTCAGTTATCTTATCCATTTCGCATGAACAGTGCTGTTTTCAGACAGCAATGACACGATGGAAAAACATTATCCACCCTTATTCAGATTTTAGCATTCATGCAGTATTCTTGGATGGCTGTACACACTGCTAGCTTTATAGTTTAGCTACCTTTTCTGTGTTACCTAAATAGATTGAAACAGAATCATTGAAATTAGCAGATATGTAATTTCCTTTTTGTAGTTCTTTTTAATAAGTGGTTTGTAAAATTCCTGATATTTCTTTCTTAAAAGTTACACACGAGCCAGCACATGATGGACAAATATGACAATTTCATTTTGATAAATTTAGAATACAATGAGCTACAGCTCAATATTTGCTAAACCTTTATATGCAGGGTAGGGCGCTGATTCTACCGAGCAGTAGATATATGTGCATGTGAATATTGTACTGAGAAAAATTCAAACCTCTCCCTCAATAGAAAAGACAATTAAGAAATGACTTGCAGGGAACTTCTATGCTCATTTCCAGACCATGATATTTCTACTTTGGAACACTAGAGCATCATTGCATGATTTACAGTTTTAAAATATAATTTCTTTAATCTTTTAAAAATTCTACCTGTAACCCTTCAGTCATTTTAGACCAGGGGTGGGCAATTCCAGGCCTCGAGCGCCGGTGTCCTGCAGGTTTTGGATCTCACCTTGGGTCAACACACCTGAATCACATGATTAGTTCGTTACCAGGCCTCTGGAGAACTTCGGGACATGTTGAGGAGCTAATCTAGCCATTTAAATCAGCTGCGTTGGTTCAAGGACACATCTAAAACCTGCCCTCAAGGCCTGGAGTTGCCCACCCCTGTTTTAGACCCTCCCTACAAGCCCACTTTCTTCCAATTGTCTTGTTTCTGGAAGCCTGCAGAGGGGCAGGACCCAGAGCTTGTAAACTGTACTGACTGAATTATGACTGTAGCAGATGAAGAAAAGAAACTCATTCTGGTTGATGTCAGCTTGTACTGTGAGTTGACTGAAATCCTTTGGCTCACTGGCATTACATTTACATATGTTCATTGCATTAATATGTTTGCATTAATATATCTTAACACTAGACATACAAATCATAATAGGTCCTCTTAAAGGTAAATGTGGAAGAAGTCTTTTTAAACAGGACACCCAGGTGTTTGTTTGCTTTTTTGCCCAACAGCTGGGCAACAGAAACCCATCCTCAGCTGCATTTCCTTTGATAACAATGCAAAACTGGCAGGTTACAAATAACTGCTTTGTGTCTGTAGTCATAAAGACTCTGTACACAAACTGCCTGGCAAGGAAAATGAAGCCACATCTAAGGAATGAAAGATGCTTTTTTTGGTTTCTACTGTATTTCATTTTTATACTCTAATCCAGCTTTTGCGTATGGGTATGTTTTGTTTTTTTTAATTTTTTAAGTTTTAGAGTCTAACACCAAGATAGCACCAACCATGTGAATGTCAAGAAACGTTTTTGAAACTATTTAAGAGGGCAGAAATAGTTTGTTTGTCTATTTATTGAAAATATTTATTTATTTATTTATTAATGTATTTATGTATTTGTGTATGTATTTATTTGCATTCCTGGATTATTTTCAATAATGGATATAGGTGGTTATAAAGACAGGGAAGTGTTAGTTAGATGTCTGGTACTGCAGACAAAAACTAAACAATTAGTCCAAAGTTTTTTTGTTTAAAATTCTAACATTTTAATGCTGCAAAACAGCCCTTTAAGCTTTATGTTGTGATTCTGCACTTTAGATTTATTTTGTCATTATTTTTGCCATTAGAGATGTCCATTTTATAATGCGAGACCAAGATTTCACACACATAAAATACCTTCAGTGCTGAGTCTTTGCCTCTTTTAGGTGTTTGTTCAGTTCAATTTTTTTTTCTTAATTGAGACCTCAAACGAAAAGACAGCAGGATGATAATCTGCTGGAATGTTATGTAATTACTTGTTGTAACAAAGAAGTCCGTGTTTCTGTGTGTCTCTATGTACAACACACACGCTAAGGCCTTTCAAATTAAAGGTCCTTTTCAGCCCAGTTAGATATGTGTCTTTGTGGATAAAAGGAGCATCATTATCTTAATTATTGAATTGATTTAAGTGGGAAAATTCCAGTTTGTCCACTAAATTGGCTTAGTAATTTGGCACCAAATTCATGTATTCTAGGTGGTTTTCTGCACTTTGTGTTTAGAACTAACTGGTAAATGTTAGCATGCTATTAGGCCCATCTAAAAAAAAAGAACTTGGTGAGCATTATACCTGCTGAACATTTGCATATTAACAATATATACACATAGCAATTACAATCTTACTGTTTCAGAGCTACCAATGACTATTGCTGAGCTAACAGTTAGCTATCAGTTAAGAATTGGCATGTTTGGTTAGCATGGTGCATTTACAGACTGTGTGTAACTGTTGTGGGTACACTGCACACAGTTACTTCTTAATTATTACTAACAGTCTAATAAAATATAATTTCACTCTGAACAAAAGCCAAGCCATGTTATTTATCAAATAATTGTGTTAAACTGCTCTAGAATACCAGTACAGTGTCTCCAGTTAGCTGAGGTGATAGCTAGCAAAAGGCTACAGGCCTAACCCAGTCGCAAAACAGCCCTATTCATTCTTAATGTTATTATTAAGAAATTATGTAAGGGCAAGTTATATAAAGTGTCACCCCCTGGGATATTAGCTAACAAGAAAACAAATATTTATTTATTTTTGTACCACCGTGTAAATGAGTTTATTCTGCATTTTAATATGGAAATCGATGGGACTGATGTGGACATTTGAGGTACTGTAGTTTTTGGGCTTCTACTTTGGCTTCATATTTGAGCCCCAGAGGACGTTACTTGCTTGGTATGCTAACATTGACATTTAGCTCAAACACTGCCAAGTATTACAATGCTAACAGTTTACAGAGCAGTCATGTGCACTCCTTGTAAAACATTTTGTGTCGTTTCATGCAAACCAGCTTCATTCCTCACTGACCTTCAGGCGTGTTTGTCATTACATCTTTTTTTCTCCTTCTTTTTTTTTTTTTTGCTATATTCCTGGTTGCTTTTACAAATTCTGCTTCAGCTGCCTATAAATAGTTTAAAAGAAGAAGCTGCAAAATGAAAGTTTTCACAGCAGAGCCCCTCATGACGTTTTGACATCTTTCCCTTTTAGTGGATACAATCACTTGTGCTGTCTTCAAAAATTTTCTTTTTTTCCATTCCCATTCTCATAATGTACACCTGTGGGAAAACCCAGCAGTGAGATCCACACACCTGACAGGTCAGAGTTTGGCGAGTGTTAAAGTTGCACACTCAAATACACAAAAGGTAGTGTTAGATCTTTTTATTAAAACAAAGGTTCATCTTTCATCCACTTAGAAGAGAAAAAGAGCTAAAGGATTGAAATAAGAAGAGGAAAGGAACCTTCTAAATTTTGCTCCACTGAGCAAACACTGCATTTTAATCCATTCAAAGACACAACAGGGCGCTTGGCTTGATTGCGCAAAACTCCCTTATTGAAAGAAATGTCCCCCCTCACTCGTTTCCTCCTTTATCCTCCACCTATTCACTTAACATTTTCTACATTTTCCTCCTCCCATTCCTCCCCTTTGTATTCCTGGTCTCCTGCTCCACCCATCCTATCCCTCACCACATGCACATATCTCACCTCCGTATATAACCACCCCTCTTGTATACATTTTATACCCAGTATACTTCGACAAAGATGCTGTATACATTTGTATACGCTGTGTGCCTGTCTCCATTGTATGCCATCCATATCTATGTAGCGTTCACTATGTTTTATTGACACTGTAGTCACCATACAATTCTTCCTCTCATCATTATTGCTCATTCTTCTTCTGCAGTTAAAGTTGTACGACTATAATCTCCTATCATGTCCCTCCTCCATATCCGCCCTTGCTCCGCCACTCAAGCCCCACTCCCAACTCCCATCTTGTGACCCACACTCCACACAGAAGAAAAAGAATGTTTCACTCTGGAGAAATTCATGATGTGAGAAATAAATGGAGGGCGGAGGTGGAGCGTAGGAGAGGGTGGGGTCGAGAAAACAGCTCACCCAATTAATGACAAAGAGAAATGTCTGTAGTATAATTACAAAAGAGGAAAAGTGCACTATTATGACAATGATTATTATTGCCTGTGAAAAATACTGACCAATAAACAACAATGGATATATGTATGTGTGTGTCTGTGATGTGTTTCAAAGCATTCAACTCATTAAAATGCTGAGTAATTATCTTTACTTGAAATTGTATCGAAATCAGTATCATAGTTATTAGTTCCTGTCATTTCCTTCCTTTCCTCAGTTAATGCAACTCAACTGCACAAATCACGTATATCGCAAGACGCCCTTCAATACACTCTGCACTTGATGGTGTTCCTCAGTCCATCATTTTGGTGACAAAATATCAAACATGATGTAAGCTCTTTTTCTCCCAGTAGGGGTTACTGTATTTGGTAACTTGGTGAAACGGGAAATCCAAAAATGGCTTCCCCATGCCTTTCCATGAGGACGTCGAACCACGTAGAGTTCTCCCAGCCAATCTGCAAACTTCAAGCTTCTCACAATGAAGTCATGATAGCTGACTAATCACCAGTGGCCTGGACCATTTCAAACTACAGCCCTGTGCCTCGACCTACAGTAATAACACTGAAGGTTAGGACTTCATATGTGTATTATAACAGTGGCAAATTATTAAAAGTCAAATATCATATGGTTGAAGGGTTGTTCTTCAACCCACGGGACTCCCGTCAGAAGATAACACATTTATAGAAATTATGAAAACTAATAGTGAAATCTGTGTGGGTTTGGTCTGTTGGACCTTGGACCTTATTCTCTTTACCTTCACAAATAGTTAAAAGTGGCCTTGATGTTGACTCAACTACATTATCTCTTTAGTTACATAGCAGCCTAATCAACTCTTTTACGGAATGATGGAGAATGTCGTTGTCCCATTCTGCCCATTTAATGTGACGGTACGGAGGAAGAAGATGAAAATGTGAAGAGCCCAACTTTATCCCACCAACCCACGATGTCAACACTCCAGGCCCAAGTGACATGGACCACTCTGCCAAGAGAAAGTGTGTGGAGTATGCACTTGAGGTGCTTGTGGATAACAATGCAGTGACAAGGATGATAACTAGCCAGCATCACAAGCCAAGAGGCCCACCAAGAAGAAGAAGAAGAAGCCAACGGACAGCCAACTAAACCTGATCAGGAAAACCCAGCCCTGGCTGAGTACCAGTGCTCACCATTTAAACATGATAGCAGGTACCAGGCCAACTTACTGAAACCTTTAAAGCAGCAGTCCCAAACATTTTTTGCGCCATGGACAATATTTTCATGGACCGGGGGTTAGGCACCGCTGCTTTAAAGGACATCCAAACTACCTCTGCCACTGTTGAAGATGAGATGATGAACTTTGTGATGATCCTGATACACATGGGGATTGCTGAGCTGTCCTCCATTCATCACTACTGGGCAATGGGGAGCAGGAGCCCTCATCTCAGGAACGTCATGCCAAGTCTTTGTCTGCGATGTTTCAGGCTGATAAAGGAAGACAACGACAATACTCAGAACACCAGACACTGATCTATTCTTCAAGACTTTTCAGCTTAATGATTACTGCCTTCAGGAGTGAGCCACAGATCTCCAAGCAGTCAGTGGATGAGGTCAAGGTGGTATAGAAATGCAACAAAGACAAATGAGGATTCAAATTGTTTGCCAGTGCCTTTGAGGACTGCCTCATTCACAAACAGACACCCACACACACACGTTGTGTTTCCATCACTTTTGGGAAATTACATTAGCTTACCGTAATTGTCGGGCTATAAGCCGCTACTTTTTGCACAAGCTTTGAACCCTGCGGCTTTTAGTCAGGTGCGGCTTTTCTATGGATTGTCCATGAGCGGATTTGTTTTGTTTGTTCTGCTGTTGTACGGCACTACGTTGCCTGGCGGAAGGATCGGGGTTCAAGAGTGGTATGTTGGTCACATGTCCATCCGCCAGGCAACGTAGTGCCGTACGAAGTAGCGCGAAAAACAAACTTCAAAGTAGCGCTACGCGTTCAGCGGGAGGCGTGGATGACGAGCGGCGATAAACTTGCGAAAAGCAAGTTATGCTCAACTCCACCGGTGGATTCTGACAGCGTGGAAAAGTGTGAAAACATCCACGATCACCAACGGATTTCGAAGGGCTGGACTGCTGCATGATGGAGAGGAGGACACCGCCACGGCCCTTCTGAGGGTGTTCGACTCTGACACTGACAACGAGGATTTCTTTGGTTTTGAAAGTGACAACGAAGGAGAGAAGCGAGAGTGGATGACGAAGCCATCCTGAGCCTGTTCGTATCCGACACTGGAGAAGAGGACTTTGGTGGTTTTAGTGCGCAGGAAGAAGAGAAAGATGGTGAATGACTGACTTTTCTTCTTGTTAAAGCCGTGTCACTGCACCTGAGCCTAAAAGGTAGTCCGAATCTATTTTTCTGGTGTGCTGTAGGTTATTGTTATGTACTACATTTGTTACTCATTTATGAAGCACAGTACATGTTTCGTACTTGTAATTACCGCTACTTGTACATATACCTAAAAAGTTATGCAAATATGTACCCATAACTTGTTTTTCAAAATATTAATAAAAGTGATGTCTCCAAACAGCCATCTCTTTCCTGACAATTCGCTTTGTGCATATTCTCTTACATATGATAAGTCAACATTGAAACACCTGCGGCTTTTAGTCAGGTGCGGCTAATGTATGTACAAAACAGGATTTTCCCCTGATTTTAGCTTGTGCGGCTAATATTCAGGTGCGCTTCTGTAGTCCGGGAAATACGGTACATTCATTTCCTGGAGACTTATCCTGACTCTACCCATCACAAGTCCCTGCCTGAACCTTACCCTAACCCTGACTCAAGCCTTCACCCTAAAATTGAATGATTTACCTTGCAATTTGTCCCCATAAAGTAGGCGAGACCTCACAATATGGAGTGTGTAAACAAATTTGTGTCCCTACAACAATAAGTAATACATGACCACACACACTGACACCCACACAGCAATATTGGTATGGCAGGGATCAGGCCCACACAATGTGCTTACACATGGCCCACATACCGCAAAGAATGACGGCCCTTTGGTGGCCCAGACCTGGTTTGCCAGAGGTGGCCCACACATGGGCCAGCACAAGGCCAGTTTCAGACACACTGGTGGTCCTGTGCTGGCCCATGTGTGGATTACCTCTGGCAAACCTGATCTGGGCCACCAAAGGGCCTCATTCATTGCGGTGGGCCATCTGTAGGTGGTGTGCTGCCACGGACCAGTTGTAGACACACTGCTGGCCTTGTGCTGGCCCAGAAAAGTTTCAGCTCTGGCCCCAGATGTCAGCCTAATGTGTACCTTAATCAAGCCATGTAATAACAACATGTGTCAGAACATGCAAAACAGTGCAAAAGTAACATGCCGAAACTCTGTTCATGCCAGAAGTCAGCCGGCTGCTGTCAGCTGGCTTGATACCAGATCCTGGCCAGACCTGCTTGCTATGTGGGCACTAACACACACACAGACACAGTTACTTTACCAACTGACCCCTGAGCTCCTAAGTGTCCCGCAAACCTCATTCAGGGATCCACTCCTCTACTTCAATGTCACTCCCTGAAAGCTCACTGTCCTCACTTTCTGAGGACAGAAAGTGCACATTCCCATTTACATCCATGTCCTGTAATTATGAGTAGATTTTAAAGTAAAAAATATTGACTATGATCATATAAATGCACACAAACACATCTCTACACACATATGCAAATGCATTATATTGCCTGAAAAAAATTGGGCTAACTGCGCAGTGTTGCCATGACAGTTTTACTGTATAAATAAAATAAAAAAAGTAGAACAAACAATCAAATATGCTTCTTAACATATTCATGCACATACAAGTATTTTTTAATATACATTTATTTCACTATAAACATGTAAAATAGTGATCTTTATCTTGCCTCCTAATGGAGATGTCTCTCATGTAGTGCAGCTTGCAGAAAGG